TGTCCTCAGCTGTCTGTGGAACATGACCGGAAGAGCCAGCCAGTGGTGTGGAAGGGGACCCCTACCCCTCCTTGTGCAGAGGAAGCTGGTGGGGGTGTGACTGCCCCTGGACCACATGCCCAACAGTCTAGCCAGGCCGTGAAGGAAGTTGGGGATGGACCTGTCCCCCAGAGCTCACCTCCTCTCTGCTCCGGGGGATTGGACAGGGCACTCAGTCCTGGTGCAGAACCCCCGAATCCCCAGGCACTGTCCTCCCCTATGGAGGTCCAGGTGGTCAGCTCGCCAGAACCCCCCCTCCCCCGCAGCTGAGCCCTGCACCCCCCAGCATCCCACCCAGTCAAGTTAGGAGATCCTGTGTCTCCCTCCCTGCCTTCCAGTACTTGGCATCTGGGGAGAACCCTTCTAGTGCCACCTAGGTGAGAAGTGTTGAGGGGGCAGTGGGTCAGCTCTGGACTCTCAGGGGTCTTGGTAGAAAGCTGAACACCTAGGAGAAGAGTGCCTTGTCCCCTGCAGCCTTGAGTGGAGGACAGCCAGGCCTGGGTGCTCCTGCAAGAGGGTCTTAGAGGTGACCTCAGAGCTGACATGAAGGTGGGCCCTAAGAAACTGGACCATGGACTGGAGCTATCAGGTGGCAGACTCAACCCTGAGGGAGTTAATGTGGAGGCCTCTCAGGAAGGAGTGCTTTGTGGGGATGGAGGGATGGGGGCTGCCTGCCATCAGGGAGATCAGGCAGAAGGGGAGCCATGGATAGGATGGGGCGGAGGGTCTGACCCACCTGCAGGGGCCAGCTCTGACTAGGAGACTGAGGTCCAGCCACAGAATTAGCACTGCCCCCACCCCACCCTGTGAGGCCACCACATTCAGGGCACACAGAGGTGCGTCTTGCCTGCCTTTAACTTTGTCACAGTGGCTTTGTTTAAGAAGCCCCCCAGGGAAATTACAGCCCCCGAGACAGACGGTGCTGCTGCGATAAGGGGACAGAGACACCTGCGGGGGGGGGGGCACGCTGCTGGGGATGAGGGGGGTCAGTCAGGAGGCCAGGAAGGCTGGGTGTCCAGTGAAGGGGTCAGCTTCCTGGTAAGTCCAGTCCAGACCCTGACTGCTTCCTCCTCTCCAGCAGGGTGAGGATGACCATGTGGGGTCCCTGCAGTGTAAATGGGTTTGCACTTTCACTGGGTGCTCTAACTTGGTGTTGGGGGGCGGTCTACATGCTCCCTCTGCCTCACTCATGGGGACCGGACCTCAGGCTCAGAGGCCCGAGGACCCTCTGCCAGTCTGCCACCCTCTGCCTGACCCAGGGCTCAGCAGCCTAGGCTGGGCTCTTGTTTTCCGCAGTCCCAATTACCACAGAGACACTTGTTACCACTGAACCCATTAAGTGTAATTATGAAGCCTTCACCGGGAACGTGTAATTACATGTGGTCGTGTGGAGCCCAGGCTGCATGTGCCGACAGTGCTGTGGGCCAGGCTGAGTCACATGGCCTGCTTACTGGCCCATCCTGCCCACAGCTGTCCCCGTGGGACCTGGGGGGGGGGGCGCATGGTAAGAGGTCATGAGTCCCCTCTCAGCGAGCATGGGGGGAACCCCACAGCTGAACCCCACCTCCTGGAGAGCCTGGGACTTAGCTTGGTTCAGAGTGGAGTGAGGACCACTCAGACCCCCAGGCCCTGGTGCTGCAGAGAGCTAGAGCCTCAGGGAGTTGCTTGGACCCCCCTCTGCAATGTGGGGGAGCTACCTTGTGTGGTGGTGTAGGACAAGCACTCGACCGCCAGGTCAGTTTGAACCTCAAGGTCGGTGGTTCAAATTCACCAGCCGCTACTCAGAAACGCTTACAGGGTCGCCATGGGTCAGAACTGACTCCGCTACACTTCACAACAACACCCTGTTCCCCGGGATTCCAGCTTCCTCAGTCTGTTCTCATCACCTTGACAGTGTATGGGGTATGGAGTCAGGCATGAGGGACACCGGGGACATGTGCCAGGGAGCAGTGAAAGGGTACACATAAGGGCCTCCTAGGGCCTCTGCCCCATCCTCACCCCCAAGGGTTCTGAGCTGAACCTCCAACCCTTTACTCTCCCTTAAACATAATCCAGCCCCCACCATGTTGAATATGGGCCAAGCCTCCTCCTTTGGAAAAGGGGCCCCACAGAAAGTGCTCCGGACCTCTGAGGTGGGGGTGTTTGTGGCCCATCAGTGTGTCAACCTCAAGGTACAGGGAATATGCCCCCAGTTGTGGGGGACACCATGCTTAACAGCCATGCGAGTGGGTGACTGCATCCTCCGCCCCCATGGGATCCCCCAGCTCAGGACCCCCATGTAGCCTGGCCACCATCCAGGTGGCCTGAGATCTTGTTTCTGCTCTGCCTGCGTCCCATTTTGCTATTGAAACACTGGGGCAGGTTGGCAGTGGGCATTTGGCCACTCTGCAGGTAGGGGCCATGTGCAGAGCCACAGCGCCACCTGGTGGCCATTCCCAGAATGGCAGCTAATATTTTCACCTAGTCAGTAGCCCACTCATAGCAACCTTAAGCGCAGCAAAACGAAACACTGCCCGATCCTGGGCCAACCTCACTGTCGTTGCCACACTTGAGCCCATTGAGCTGACACTTTGCCAATCCGTCTCGCTGAGGGGGTCTTCCTCTTTTTCTCTGACCTTCCACCCTACCAAACATGATATCCTTCTCCATCAATTGGTCCCTCCTGACAATGTGTCCGAAGTATGAGAGACAAAGTTTGGCCATCCTGGCCTCCAAGGAGCACTCTGGCTGCACTTCTTCCAAAATGGATCTATTAGTTCTTCTGGCAGCCCATGGCACTTTCAGTATTCTCCTCCAACACCATAACTCAAAAGCATCAATTCTTCGACGGTCTTCCTTATTCACTGTCCAGCTCTCGCATGCACATTAGGTTATTGAAAACACCATGGCTTGGGTCAGGCGCACCTTAGTCCTCAAGCTGACATCTTTGCTCTTCAACACTTTACAAAGGTCTTGTGCAGCAGATTTGCCTAATGCAATATGCCCTTTGATTTCTTGACTGCTGCTTCCGTGAGTGTTGATAGTTGATCCAAGACAACTTCAATCTTTTCTCCATTGATAAGAATGCTGTTTATTGGTCCAGTGGTGAGGATTTTTGTTTTCTTTACATTGACATGCAATCCATACCCAAGGCTGTGGTTGTTGATCTTGATCAGTAAATGTTTTAAGTCCTCTTCACTTTCAGCAAGCAAGGTTGTATCATCTGCATATTGCAGGTTGTTAATGAGTCTTCCTCCAATCCTGATGCCA